GACATGATCCTGATAAAATAAAAATCTCAAAAGCTTCTCAGGTATTGAAAATCGCTCTTTACTAATTTTACTTTCAGCAATCGAAAAAAAATATCTAAACAATTCTGTTTCAGGATTTCAAATAATTTTACTTGTTTTCGAATTTTCTTTGCTATTTCCATCGACAAAAATTTGATCTCAAGTACATATGGATATATTTGATCTTCTCTGTGATACGAAATATTGATAACTGAAATGAGTACTTATATCTTTCGATGAAAGTTTTTCTCTATCATTTATATTCGTTATGATGAAGCTGACAAGTGTTTTGTTTTTGACGGTTCATTTTATATTTGTGGTGAGTACATTATTTAGGAGTTAGTTTCAATCATTTACAGATATTTATATAGGAGTATAATAAATTATAAGTATTCTGGTTCATTACCTGGAACTTTCAGTCGTAGACTTTTCCAAGCAATTCAAAAGTATTTGTACATCCAGCAACAATTCTCCAAGCCGTCCAACTGTTGACGTTTAAAAATTGTTTGAACGAATTTTCAACTAGAGAAACGAATAAAGTAAGAAGTAATTTGTTACATGTTTTCATTGTTGATGAATTCCTGAATTTCAGTGCTTTTGTACTCTGTTGTTGTTGAAAACACGTTTCCCCCAATTAGTATCCACAATCGTCTTCGGGTGATAACTAAAATGATTCCTTCGAAATCTGACTATTTATAGGTTATTCGACTGTTTTCACCTATCCCCTCTTCCCTCTCACCGCTTCATTGGTTTTTAGCGGAAGCTGACCATTTGCCGGGAATTGGTCATGTTCCGCTTGATTAGAGGCTTCCATATGTTACGTGTCTCTACGTTAGCTTGGCTAAATGCGTTGTTGGACAACATGCGGCTTCTTTGAAATTTCTCCTAAACCAATGTTCCTCCTTGTGGATGATTTCAGCTTGAGCCCACTTGATGTTATGTTGATGAGTCCAAACATGCTCTGCTATTCCGGATTTGCTGGTTTCTCCTCGCTGTATGTGTTTTTTGTGCTCGGCAATGCGAACTTTTAATGGCCTCTTAGTTTCATCGATGCATGATGCTCCGCACTAGCAGGGTATCCGGTGAATGCAATTTTTGGAATCGCAGTCCGCGTTTGGTGGCCTGATTTTCGTGAGACTTCTACGGATAGTGTTCCCAGATCTGAAGCAGGTTCTGATGTTATACTTGGACCCAATCCTTTTTATCCTTTCCGACACTCCTCTGATGTAGGGAAATATAAGTACTGGTTGTGGCGGTTTCTCTTCCTTGTGGAGCTCTTGCTGTCTTCTAGCTAAAGCCTGTTCCACCATCACTTTGGAGTAACTATTCCGTTGAAGATCATTTTTGATGATGCCTACCTTTATGTGGGTCGAGAAATTGATTGATTGATTCTACGTTACTTTAAATCATATATCAACACCTTAGGCTTTTAAATGATAGTGATTTTTATATGCATAGGGATCTTGTAAACGGGTACAGAGTAGGTTGAACTGTGGCAAAGTTGACTATTTTTTGCCACTATCGAAAACTCGACTGAAGCTTTTTTGATTCCAGAAAAATAGCTATGTAAGAAAACAAAAAATTTCGAATTTTTTCTGTGTCACCTGGAAACCGGAAATTCTTTACGATGCTATCGATATGGAATTCGGGATAGACAAATGTGCTACGGTCCACTTTAGAAGAGGGCGATGCGGGGACTTCGGAGAGGATTTGCGGCTCGTAGATGAGGGCATCCTGCATCATATAGATGTCGGAGAGACGTATACTCACTACAAGGTGGAACAACGCAACTCACAAGAGGTAACAGCAGTGAATAACTTTCTCCGCTGCAAGTATCAGCACAAACTCTGGCAGATCCAGCCATTGGAACTGTCGGGAAAGACAAAGTTGGTGCTATGCATATGCTTGCCGTTTTGATCTAGCTCTACTTGTTTGGAGTAGTGAAGTGCACCCCGAGAGGAGCTGTATCAACTCGACGTAAAGACCTAAATATGAGACATATTTGGGTTTGCATCCCAAATTGCCCGTTCCACGATTGTACTTTCCTCGATCACAGGGAGTTTTTACATGACAGAATGGTACTTGATGGATCCTGCAAAGTTATCAGGAGTTCGAATCTCCTTCTCTGCATAGTCCGCGACCATGAGAGATCGGGATTTAGAGCTGCTTATGTCAGCAGCTGGGCTATGCTTGAAGACTGGCAGTGAACAAATCTAAAGAAATGAACAGAAAACAACTACTCCACTGGCTAATACCACGAACGGCGTTGGATTATATCCGACAGGCGTCAGTGCAGGAATCTTCACAGAAAACTTCCTGCATATGCAATTGGCAATACAACTGAAAGAGTCGACGTTCAATTTTGGAACGGGCACACTTGCAGACCGGTTTCGGGCTTATTAGCCACTCATCAGTGCAAGATAGTGACCATCATNGTCTTGCCTTTTTTCGGCACTAGCTATTAGTGACAACAAACCTTGTATTCTGGGTCTCTGTACCACAGATTTGTCATCATCACGCACATATTTTTCACAAATAACACACTTCATTGTCTCAGTGAAAATAATATTTCTATTTTTTACGCCCGCAGCATAGATACTGTGCTGAATGCCGCAAATTTCGAACTAATTCAGCCTCGTCTTACATGTCTCCTTTGGCGCGTGCCGATGTGTATATGGAGCGCGCGAGGGAGCGCGCTATTAAAAAAATCACTGTTGCCAAACTATACATATTGGGGGAAAACTAATCAATTCAAAAACTTCTACCATATGTGTGCTTCATTTGGTTCGCTATATGTATATAAAAATTTCCTCAAATAAAAAAGTTTATCGATTGGTGCAAATAATGATACATATATTTTGAATTCCATGATTTCATGATTTTTATAAAATGAAAGAAAAAAAATTTGTAGAGTCCATCGGTACTGTTAGAAGCGCTATTGTATTTACTTCAATCGACAAAAAAAATCACCCCGATAGCTTCATTAATTCTGAAGTTATGACGGTGAAAACAAAAAATAACAGATTTTATCTGAAATCTTTTTTTTTCAGTTTTTTTCTGTTAAAAAAGTTCTAGACCACTAAAAAATGTCGTAAAATACGATTTCGTATTCCTTATGACATGCTTAACAAAACCTGCCATGTCTGATCTGGTTCTACGCCAAAAAAAAAACGAAACGATAGGGTCTCGAAATTACTCCACTATTTATAAGATACCTTTGCTCAGACTATAATGTAAATAGCCCTGTTTTATTGAAAATATTCCTATACTAGTCCTATGGCGGGTTTTAACAGCCATATCTAGTGTTGTATCGCAATACTTAATTTTTAGTGTAATTATTCAACAAGGTTTCCAATTTTTCAATCCATTTATTGAACTATTCAAACAAAAAATGAATATTTGTTTCACAGGTAGCAGATATTTTGGTGACAATACCTGATGGTACGATACGAGGACGAGAGGAATATTCCCAAAGAGGAATTAAATTTTTTTCCTTCCAACAAATCCCTTTTGCTAAACCACCACTTGGAGAACTTCGTTTCAAGGTATGTGACATTATATTTGTTTATTTTATTGACTTGTGTCATAAACTGGTTTTGACCTGACACCATTTGTCGTGAACTCTCTTTGACCCTTGTCGTACCTGTTGACATTCGTCAAGACTGGGTACTTCAAAAATGAGAACGAGGTACAATGTATTAGATGGAAATTTTACAAATACCTGTCACACCAGTATACACGCCACCAGACAGCTTCTCACATCCCCTCAACGGTACGGGAGCATGTACCGGAGTATATGACGGAAGAGTAAGTCGAAACGTCGAAACGGAGACTTGTCTGGAAACGAAGGGATATTTTCAAACAAGTGAGGCTTTTTTATTGCTAGCTATATGTTATCAATCAAACTACTGAATTACAAGGCAAACATACATTTTAATCATATACAGGGTGTCCCTGAACTTCCTCTTTTCCTTTCGGGAATGTATAGATGGGGTCAAAATATCACCAGTACTTCATATAACTTTTTTTCCTAAAAGTCTTCGTAACCAAGTTACGGGCCCTCGAAGTTACAAAATGAAAAATGTTTTTCTTTGATAACNCACAGCTTGTTTTATTCCATTTCAACATCTACCCGCCCTTATTGAAAAACCCTTTACAAGTTCCACTTTTGGTGAATCGATAGTAATGTAAAATTTTCAACTTTTTATCGTATCAAGTCCGTAGGTTTGTGCATAGATTCAGCGATAAACAATCGATTAACTAAATCGTCACTGCACTAAGTTGGTTCTGGTATTCCCGTATTATTTCTAGACATAATTTCGGTGATGAATTATTTAAAAGCGAAATTGCACTATTCATTTCCTTCACATATTTCATTCAATTCAATACATAAGACCGGATTTGAGATTTAGGTGACCGGTACTGAACTATTTCAGTATTACATTGCGCACTGATTCGATATGTACTGAAAGAGTTTTCGCTTCAGACTAATTTTACTATTACATCACGCAAAGGTGTGTTTTAGTGAATTTCAAAAATAAAAGCAATTCTTCATCAAGAGGTTAGGTTGTTAAGAGCAATTAGAACATCGTTTAAATTTTCAGCATGTTAGGCAATGGTAAATATCTTCAGATGATATGAGCTCAAGGAAATGTCGACTTATATCGTATACGCAAATTGATGTAACAAGTCCCAGCTGCACTTGGGTCTTCTCGACCTCCTCGCCCTGTGCCTTCTCCGTGAGTCTCTCTTAAATTGTTCAGGACTTCGTTGTATTCAGCTAGGTGCCTCTTGCACAGATACAATATGCCTAATTTCCTTGCACTTGAAGGTCTTCATTACATCTATATTCCATCCACCAGTTCGTTATGCCGACTTACCGAACGATCGTCTACAAAGTATAATTTTTGTCAGTCAACAGATTTTTAAACCTACTCACGAGAGGTGATTTATGCACCTGAAGTTTAGGCCATTTTTTCTCTCGAAGTCTTCAAGGATCATGATTGGCTATTTTCCAAGACGTCTTTATGACTTCTGGTGGCAATCTAACAACTGAGTTTTTTAAGTCTTGTATTGTAGTGACTTGAGCTACCTACTTATATTTTCAAGGAACCACAACCGGTTGATAAATGGGAAGGTGTTTTGAACGCAACGACTAATACCAAAGTGTGCTACCAAACCTATGGCGATGACCGAACAGTTGGATTGGAAAACGAAGATTGTTTGTATCTCAATGTATTCACCCCACGGGTAAGAAATCATGGAAATTGAAAACTGATACGAACTCATAATGTTAATGAAAACCAAATTGAAAACTGATATTACAGTATCCTTCCTCAACAAACTCCCTTCCTGTTATGTTCGAGATCTATGGAGGTGGATTTATGAACGGCGCAGCAACTCTGGATACTTTCGGACCACATTATCTCATGGAAAATGATGTCATTGTCGTTTCTGTCAATTATCGAGTTGCAGCATTCGGTAAGAGAATCAAAGTTCAATTTACTCTACGTTTCCGTACTTTTCATGGACCCTTGAGTGTAAAGTACTACCGGTAGCTTCACTTTTCATATTGAACAAATGATATTGAATATAAAAAACACGTGAATTCTTTGTCAATAGAGATTGCATAGACCATTTCAATAATCTCTGTGGTTGTTCTGATTATCGTAGTCATTGGTGGAATGGTGCCCTCTCTACTGTCGAATCTTGATATCATACCGTCTTGCCGCACTAAGGCAGAACGCAAAAAATATTCAATGACACTTCGATGGTTGATTTTTCCATTTTCACAAAAACGCATCACCTCAAACGATCGTCAAATAACAACGGAACGTTCAAAATTGCTAAAATTTTGATGAGTCCCTGTCAAAAGCAGCCCTACAATGATCCCCATCTTTCAGTGACTAATTCTGCCTTGCCACGTTAACTTTTCAAATGATCACCGTCAAAAAATTCTCCATTTGTTCAGTTTTTCTCTTTTCAAAAGTAGTGTTCACAAATTATAAATATTTCGAATGTTTGATTCATCTCCTCACTCGTAAAACTTTCAACAACGTGATAAGAACATGAACCTCCCAAAATAGACATACAAACTTATGCATTGGGGAATGAAAAATGTTTACAAGTATTATAAGCTTTTCACAGAAGAAGATATGAATGACGACGCTGGTCCTAGACGCACCAGCACATCAACCATTAATGGAAATATTGAGAAAGTGAAAAAATTGTTATAGAGAATAATCGAAACAGGAAAGTTGCTGTGGATGCCGACATATCGGTAGGTTGATGACATGCAATTTTTTCGGAAATTTTGGACATGAAGCGTGTGTGGTAGCGAAGTCCGTTCCACAATTGCTAAATTTTGACCATCGCTCAGAAATTGTAGAATGACGTCAACGGCGATCCAGATTTGCTCAAAAGGGTCATAACTGGTGACGACCCATGGCTATATAGTTATGACATCAAATCAAAATCCAAACGTCCCAGTGGAAGAGCCCAGGAGAGACGAGACCAAAAAAAGCACGCCAAGTTCAATGTAATTTCTAGGTTTTGCTCACTGTTTCCTTCGATTACCATGGTGTAATGCATCAGGAGTTCTTGCCACATAGTCGTACGGTCAATAAGGAGTATCATCTTGACGCTATACACCGCTTGCGAGAAGCAATACAAAGAAAACGTACGGTTTTGTGGAAAAACTCATGACTTTTACATCACGAAAATGCACCTTCTCACTCGTCATTGCTTGTTAGAAATGTTTTGGCTAGAAACAACAACGTTATCATTCCTTAGCCACCATATTCACCAGATTTGGCCCCCTGCGACTTTTTCCTGTTCCCAAGATTGGAGAGACCCATGGAAGGATGGCGTTTCACCACCATTGAGGAAATGAAGACCGAACCGCTTCGAGGATCGGGAAAATGCTGGCACAAGTGTATTATATCTGAGAAGGGCAACTTTGAACAGAACGAATCAGAAATTGATGAATTAATAAATATGTTTTGAAAAAAATAAAAATTCATACAATGGTACATAAATACAGGGTGTAACTAAATAAGTGTAAAACATCTAAGGTGGTGATTCCTCATCGAAAAAAAGATAGGATCTTTCATATAAAGAAACTTCAATGGAGCATCCCTTGTTAAGATACAGCCCCTTTAAATACCAGNTGGGCAAAAAAAAACCAGTTCACAGGCTATCGGAAATAAATGGGTAAATGGGTAGGGGTTTCGTTTTCCATCCCTTTCAACCATGGGGTAAACCAAATAAACTACTGACTAAGTGTCTTTTTGATAGTACGAAACGTCAGGTTAATTTCAATATCGTAACTTTTTCAGTGCTTGTGAAAAAAATTGTTATACAGCCTCTTCAAGGGGCTGTATCTTAACGAGGGATGCTCCAATGAAGTTTCTTTATATGAAAGATCCTATCCTTTTTTCGATGAGGAATCACCTCCTTAAATGTTTTACACTTATTCAGTTACACCCTGTATAATATTACAGAATTCAACAGGCAAGGCAAGAATTCAACAGGCTTGTATAAAATATTTCTTGAGGTTTTGAAGTCAACAGTCTGTTGCATAATCTCACATTTTACTCATGAATATGTTTATCCAAAGAGGAATTTTTCCAGATCTCATGAAAGTAGGAGTTGCTTTTTCTCTTCTCGGAAAAAGAAAATGAACAACTACGAATAGAATAGTTTTATAATTATTCTGTAAGTTTTGAAGCAATCTGAATAACGATTTTTTTGAATATAATATAATCATCTTGTTAGCTTTGAAGGAAGCTGCATAATGACTTGTTTTTTGAAAAATTCAATATTTCAGCCCAAAATTAACACAGATTTCAAAAAAATAAATGAGTTCAGACTGCGACTGATCATATCTTAAATATAATTTATTTTCAACTCGATCAAGGATGTTATGCATTATAATTGATGTTTAATTCATCGATGAGTTGCATTGTATTCCTAAAACATTGTTTAAATCAAATGGAATTGAAGATATCAAGAAAATTGCATGACATCAGTTGAAGCCGAAAATGAATCATCAGATCAGTAATTTCTCCCTCTTCCCATACATAGATGTCACCATCACCTTTAAAAAATACACTAATCCTTAATTTTGATAAATTGATTTCATCGGCATTAACTTCATATATGTATTTCATTTTTGGTATCAACCTAACTGATGAGAAAATCATCAAGGTTTTTGCTTCCTTAATCAACTTATATTTCGGATTCAATTCGAACATCGGATAAAATATATTAGCTCGAAACAACAAAATTTATTTTGCTAATCGTCATATGAAGTCTAATGTAGTTAAAAAAGCTCAGAAAACTCAAGATATGATTTGGCGTATAGTTAGTCATATGTCCTACAATATACTATCTTGGGGCAGGAATTAGCATAGACCTTTCATAACTCAAAAATTACGGTTATGCAAATATTTCTGCAGATAATCTTTTGTATTCTGAACTTTTGTAAGAAGTCATGTAGAAAAAACACATCATCTATTAAGTTGCAAATTGAAAAACTTGAACATCTACATATAAAAATATCCTCATCCAGGAAATCTGCTGATATTCCTAATTCAAAAATTGTGCTCAATTCAAATATTACGCTAAAAAATTGTTATTAAAAATTGGTTTTCATACTTTGGAAAAGTTTTAGAAAAAAATATATTTTATAAACATTTTGAACGCTCCATTTAAGTTCAAAAATAAAAATAACGTTTATAGTTCAATGTTTTGCAGGCTTCAGAGCATATTGTTTTATTTTAGGATACAGCATTTTATATCGTTTAACTTAACATGTGTAGCTATACTGTATGTTATATTGATGATCAAATCTATTCTATTCTATATCTCAATTCAGGTTTTCTATCAACGGGAGATATGGTAATTCCTGGAAACTACGGACTGAAAGATCAACAAATGGGTCTCAAATGGGTTCAGAAAAATATCAAATATTTTGGCGGAGATCCGAAGAAAGTAACAATATTTGGAGAAAGCGCCGGGGCCTCTTCGGTTGCTTATCATTTGTTGAGTAAAGGCTCCCAAGGTAAAAACTCTACCCTGAAACCCTAATTTGCTTGCAGAAATAAATGCCTCTTATAATTTCATGTATGAAGTGGAAATATATTCTACTTCTTCAAAGTCTAATCTCAGAAATGTTATTAGTTGAATATGGTGAATATGGTGTTAGAAATGCTTTACTGAAATGATTTGTAACATCACATATTCATTGAATTGGGCTATATTTGTGAATTTCAGGATTATTCAGGGCGGCTATTGCTGCAAGTGGAACTGCTTTGTCTCCGTGGGCCTATCAGAGGGATCATAAAGAATACGCTTATAAACTAGCATCTGGTATTGACGAAAACTTCAAAGCGAATTCCACCTCGGAAGATCTACTCAACTTCCTGAGAAGTGTTCCTGCTAGCAGAATCAAAGATGTTACACGAATTTTTCCGGTAAATCAGCATACTTCTTTTATCATTACAAAATGTTCTTCACTTCTATTTGGGGATAAATGCTTGCAAATCTCAACGGGTTTAGATCCTTCTGGTCGGTAGCTGAAGCTGTTAATCAGAACTTTACAAAATCCAAAATTCCACCACTAACACAAGCGGATGGTTCAATTGCAACAACAGCCATAGAAAAGGCAAATTTACTAGCTGAACAATTTGCGTCCCACTCCACAGTCGATTTTCTGGGAAAGGCACTACCAACTATTTTCACACTAGAATCCATAATTCCAGAAATTACTTTTCGACAGCGTTTAGTCAGGTGAATTTTAAAACAGCTCAACATCAACAAGGCGTCTGGTCCTGAAGAAGGGCCCGTCATCGTACTCAAAATGTGCGTAAATGAACTCGCACCAGTATTTTGCAGACTTTTCAACCTGTCTTTCAAGAAAGGGGTTTCTCTTTCTTGTTGGAAGATTGACCCCATTCAGTCCATACCCAAAAAGGGCCAAAAAACTCTTCCAAATAACTATAGATCAGTGATATCAATCATGAAGAAAGCCGTAAACCACCATATTCTCAAATATTTGAAAGGCTTCAACATCTTCAGCGATCATCAATATGGCTTTCAAAAACAAAGATCAACAGGCGACCTTCTATCATGTCACCCTTATTTGGAATGATACAATCGAGGAACATGGAGAGTCAAAAGTTGTTGCGCTTGATATTTCTAACCCCGGCCGTACACAGACCACATATTTGCAGTTGAGGCAACCACAACATTGTGGCCACGTTGACTGCACTTCGCGGTTGACCCAACCACATTTTTGTGGTCTACTTGCGGTCATATAAAACCGCACTCGCAATTGTGGCAACTGACATCTATATTTTGTGGTGTCAGAGTTTAGTGCCAGTTTCAAAATGGATTTCGAAAAAATTCTACTACTTCTCATTTTGAGGAGAAGGAGAAGACGTAGAAAACTACGATCGCTTTGGGTACATCCACTTTTGGCTGTGCGACAACAGGAAGGAAATTTTTATATTTTATTCGATAAACTCCGGCAAGACGAAAAACATTTTTTTAATTACTTAAGAATGTCCATTAGTTCTTTTGATGAATTAATCAGAATTTTGAAATCAGAAATTGAACGCTGTGAAAAGTACACGACGGTGTACGCGGTTGGGTACGACTGCAAGTTTGTGGTTAGTGTACGGCGGATGCCGCGATGACATCTCGGCGGAGATCAGCAGCAAGTTGACTGCAGACGCCCGTTTTGACTTTTGTACAGTGTTTCTTATGGGTGGCTTGAGTTCGCTGGAACGCGACTGCAATTGTGTGGTCGATCCAACCGCAAAATGTGGCTAGTGTACGGACTCTCTAAGGCCTTTAACCGTGTGTTGCTTGAGATTTTGCTGGCCAAACTTCGATGCTATGGCTTGTCGGGCCATGTATGGCTCTTTAGCTTTTTGAAAGAACGTTCCCTAGAAGTGACCATCGATGAATATCTCTCGAAAACTTTCACCGTCAACGATGGTGTTCTCCAGGGATCCATGTTGCCTCCAACTCTCTTTTTATTGTATACCAACAACTTATTGAAAAAAAACAAGAATACAATATATTGCTTTGCTGACGATAGCATACTTGTATCGTCACTCCATTTGGATTCCAGAACATCGGCTACGGAGGCACATCTTCACCGGCAGCAGCAGGTTGGATATCTAGCAGTGATTTCGAATTGGGTTGAAAGTAACCAGGTTCAATTCACTGCCACTAAAACCTCGGCATCGATTTTCTCCAAGAAGATAAATGTCTCCGAACTGGATATAATAATGGCAGGTCAGACAATTCCGCTTTCTACTTCGATAAGTTTGTTGGGAGTTAAAATGGACACTGATATGTCTTCGCACAATCATGTCGCTGGAATGGCAAAGGCTGCTTTCCAAATCAAAAGCTTGGAACACTGTTCCGAACCAGAAAACTGTACATACCTCAGCAACTTTTGATGCCTTATAAAGTTCAGATCAGACCTTCTTTGCAGTATTGTTCTCATGTATGGAGCTCTGACTCAAAACATACCCTGAAATTGCTGGATTCCATCCAGAAAAGAGCCATCCGCCTGATTGGACACGCGAACATCACGTGCAACCTTGATAGCCTGGAACATCGAAGAAAGGTTGGAGATTTGTCTCTCTTCTATAGATACTTCCATGGGAGGTGTTCAAGTGACTTGGCACATTTGATTCCACCAAGAGCGGTACATATCAGAAACACGTGACGAACTGTGACTGCTCATCGTTTTGAGGTTCAATTCAGTACACCTCAAACTCCGCTGTTCAAGAACTCTTCCATCTGGAGAACTGCGTCTATGTGGAATAAACTTCCTGAGAACGTTTTTCCAAATGGACTTAATCTCCGGCGATTAAAATCCAATGTGAATCGCTACTTTCACACAGGGCGCCTTAAGGATTTTCCTGTACTACTTGTGTCTTGTCCTTAAAAAATCATCAGTTTTTGTTTCGATGATCTCCATATTAATTCAATTTACTTTCTCTAACTGGTCTAAATTATGTGATTATATTTTGTAAGTTATTTTTTGACTTTCATCAACATACGAAATCAAGTTCTGTGTATATTTCTATTGGATAACTGTTTTCCTCACAACAATAATTATATATTTATGGGATTATCTTCTTTGGCACTGGAAAACTAACGTCAGCGATTTAATTTTCAGGAAGATTTGCATAATGACCAAATAACTGAAGGCTTCTTTTTTGCACCTGTCGTAGAACCAGCGCATGAAAATGCCTTCTTAACTGAAAAAATGTATTCAGCAATAGAAAACGGACGAGCGAACAGGGTACCGCTTATGATAGGAATGTGTGAAGAGGAGTTATTGATTAAAGCCAACGGTAAATACAACAAAATTATATTGCTTGCAAGCCAGTACATATTCCATAGAACAAAGTTTTTCCACTTTTCACCTCTATGTCTTATTATTTTCAATTTTTGTATTCGATAAACAACTTTTTTCGTTATGAAAAATCTGTATCATAATGGATATCATTATGAAACGGATTATGGTCATATAAGTGTATTGTTAGAGTACGGGTGTAGAAAAACGTTTATATTGAAAAGGGCTGCTGTTGTTTATTGAAAAATCAATATATTTGTATTCAGTTCTAGAGTTTTCATAAATTTTTAAATGAACAATAGCAGCACACCTTCTAGTCAGTAAGATAAATTCCAATTTTATGTAGACGGTCAAGGTATCTGCCATGGTTTAGTCTAAACAACGATGTAAGTTTAGGTACTCTGTAAACTCTGTATTAATAATATTATCAATATGCATGATGCAAACTAATAAGGTTGATTGAATTAGTTAGTAGTGATTGGAGAAACAAGCTTTTGATTTCTTTCAGAATAGTAACGACCGAATCAATCAGAAAAAAAAACTTGAATCAATTTTTTTTCTAGGATCAACATTGAAAATATTGTAAAACGTTTTGAAAACTTATTCGATAGGCCCTATTAAAATACTCCAGGTCCAAAAAAATTATTTTTAATGAAAAATCCACTGAATCTGTTCCTGGATGTATTTTTTGACATAAGGAATTAAAAACACATAAATCTTCCAAGTCCTCTTGAAAAACATTTTTGGCCTTATTTCCCGCCTAGCAATCATAAAATCAAACTATTTGTAATCATTATCGAATATAACAAAATATCGGTCGGTAGCCAGGCGGTTCGACGTGGGTGCTTTGTCCACTCACTCGAATTGACTGCCGTGTTGGTCGGTGGTTCAAACCCTAGTCTGAACGATCGATTTTCACGATAAAAGGTAATCTTAATCCTTAACTCCTTAGCTCGCAAGTTTCGACTTCTGAGGGTTGTCGTTCGTTGGGGTGCGACAGCTGGTTAACGGGAAAACATATTTTTTTCAAACTGATTAGTCCGGGTCCTATTTGCCGTAAGTGCCTTATCAATGTCTTCATTATTATATGAATGGTTTGCCTCATACTCAAGCGATAGAAAAAAATGGTACAATCGAATGGACAACTATCATCCAGTAAAGCGATCTTATCTGGTGTCCCACAAGAATCACTTCTGGGTCCATTTCTTTTTCTTTTGTTTTCATAATCTGGCTTTCATTCCAATTAGAGGAAATTTTACTATTTTTGCACACCACCGTCCTCTGGCTTGAAAAAAATACCCAGCAATTGAAATATATTATCACTAGTGATCTTCAAACGGTGTGATTCCAATTACTTATGTTTTAATACGAATAAATCAAACGTACTTACCTTTAGCACCTTCTGTGATGATTTGAGCCTGAACAGACAAACTTCAGACAACAAAAATAATTCAAAATTCCTAGGAATATTTATTGACGACAAACTGAAATTTGATTTGCATATTAGAGCATTGACAAAAAAACTAGCGGCGGGATGTTATGCACTTAGAGTTGTGTCAAATGAACTGAGCACATATAAAGCGAAGATGGTTAGTACTCTATGATAGAGGCTCTTTTGAGATATCGAATTATTTTTCGGCGATTTTGTAGTAAACAGTTACTAACTACCATCAGTGTTTGTCCTACAAAAAAAAGGCGGTTAGATACCTATGCAAAGCTCGAATGCGTGAACCCTGTAGGCCATTATTTATCAGCAGGGACATTCTAACCCTCACCTGCATTTTTATTTTAGAGTCTGTATGTCTAATACACAAAAACCTCAATACAGTTGATACCTCAAAACCAAGCAGTCAAATGAAATATGTCACAAGGCAAATATCCGAAAATAAAATACCTCTCCCTATTCTGAAATGTACTTTAACAAAGGACTCTCTGATTTATGAAAGCAAAAAAATATATAAGTAATCACGTACCCTCCGAAATAATCAGAAATGAGAAAATTCATTAAAAATTCAGAAAAGTAATTGAAGAAGCTCAGGATCTTTCATACAAAGAAATTTNCAGAAGGCTGTCATTCTTGGCTCACTGCGTTTGCTCAGGGCACATGATTCTCGGACCCAATGATCACTTACCCCACGGTGTGGGGAGTGGTCATTGGTCGATAATGCTGACGCGCCCTCCCGAATATATCGGGGCTTCGGGGGATAAGGCCTGACCAGCGCACACTACGGTGAAAAAAAATGTTTATTTACTCAATATAGATAAAAGGTATAGATAATTCTCAAATACTCATAGAATACTCATACAGAATAATTGTCTCATGTCAGGGATATGCGTATCTCTGGTATGTTCGGCCTTTGTGAAGTATTATTTTTAAAATCCATTTTTGAATTGTATCAAGATTCGCCAAATAACAATATTTAACTCCTCACCATCCAATTATGCCATACGACAAATGAGACTGAACAAGTGCAGAATATAGCGTTTCCAAGTGTTTCGTGTCTAGGAAGTTTTTGAGATTTTGGAATTTAAAAAGTGTATAGTTCAAGTAAAAGATATAGTGCTCCCTACCTTCCAGCAGTTCCACTTTAATAACACACACAACGCGGTACTCATCGCTACATTCTATTGGTCACCGTAACATGACTTCAAATTTAATTTTATGACTCTTCAGCCAATCATAAAACTCGGTTAGTAAAAATTATCCAATACGAACCGTCAATTCTTCAGGCCACGTGGACTAATTTTTTGCGGCATAATTCCTTTGTATTGGTTTTTTTGGCCTTTGACTTCGCCGACACCATTAAGATTACTATATCAGTTACTTCGACTATACCTCTCATCTTTCTTACTGTTTCATTTATGTGTAAGTCCCAACGAAGGTGTCTATCAATTGTTACCCCTAGATATCTTATTGATTCACTTTCAGTTATATAGTAATTATTGTTGATATTGAGTTGTCCAATATCAGGCAGTCTATTGGAGTATGACGTGAATGGTAAGTAATTCGTTTTATCGGAGGTAATTGTGAGTTTGTTCTGTCCAAACCAACTTTCGATTCCTAGAAAATCTTCTTCTATACATAACTTGACTTGTTCCCACATAGATCCTGTGTATATGATGGCAGTGTCGTCAGCAAAGCTCAAGACCTTACCTCTTGTATCAAGAAGGAGCAGTTCATTCAAGTGAATTATGAAAAGAACGGGGCCTAGCACAGTTCCTTGAGGTATCCCAAAGCCCACAGTTTCTGGATTACTCATTGTATCACCTATCCTGACCATCTGTTCACGATCATTCAAATAACTTTTGAAGAGTTCATACGCCTTTCCGCGAATACCAATCTTTTCCAGCTTTTCTAAAAAGTTTGGGGTGACTCACTGTATCAAAGACTTTAGAGAGATCGATAAAAATGTACACTGTTGGAATATTTTTGTCTGAAGAATTGTAAATTTGTGATATAAGTTTATATATTGCATCTTCTGTCGATCCCCCCTCCCTAAATCCATATTTTTGCTATATTCGAAATCAGTGTGATCAGTCTGTAATTAGTCATATTTATTTTATCTCCTTTTTTGTACAATGGTTTTATTATTCCCGTTTTGAATATTTTAGGAAAACAACCATTTTCAAAACATTTATTAATGAGAATTGTCAATGGAGCTTCAATTTCATTAGAAATCATTTTCAAAGTTTCCGAGCGAATTTCGTCATGCCCTGGTGACTTTTGTGATTTCAATTCCATGATCACGTCATGTACTTCATTTGTATCAGTTTCATAAAGATACAATGNATAATGTAATCGACACGCATTGTTCAACTCCAAGACAAGTATATTTGAGGCGAATGAAAAGCTACCGAGAATCCAGCAGACATATAATCTACCTCGACGAAACTTGGTTTGACACCCATGATGTTGTCAAATATGGCTGGGTAGACGAAACCAAGTATTGTGCTTTGAGCACACCTTCTTCAAGGGGAAAACGTGTTATAATTTTTCATGCCGGGTTTCGTACCTAACGCTTTGCTTCTGTCGGCCAAAAATATTAGAGATTAGTCTGCTGATTACCACGAAGATATGACTGCGGCTTTATTCGTAACCTGGTTCAGTGAGCAGCTCCTCCGAAATATTCCTCCAAACTCGGTTATTGGTATGGATAACGCTTCGTATTATTCTTGGTTATTGACTACAATACCAAACAATAACACAAAAAAAGCATATATTGTTGATTTCATGCGAAATCATGACATGGAAATACCCAAAAAGATTCTAACGAAAAAGGTATTACCTACTGGCGACCATAAAACAACGTAATTTCAAAAAAGTGTATATTTTTGAATCGATGTGTGAAACACGTGGTCATATTCTCTTATGTTTGCCTTCATACTATTGTGTGTTCAATCCAATTGAAATGGTTTGGGCACCATGAAAGAAACCTTGCGGAAATGTAATCAGTCACCGACTCTGAATGCTGTAATGTTTGACAATAAAGGCGAGTGGTGAATGAAGTAGGTAAGAGTGATGTGTGGAAGAACTGTGTGGCCCACGTTATAAAAGAAAGAGAACAAATATTATGTGCAAAGTTCCATAAATCCGTCGTTGTTCAACCCGATGATGATTCCACCTCATTCGAATATAGCGAAGAAGAATTTTGATTTTTCTAGCAATTTTGTTGGCCTCTATTATTTTGTAAATATATGTTTGACGAGAATTCGGTGTGATTATTTGTGTTTTCATTGTATTTTAGAGTTTTCGACTCTGAAATCACCTACCTCAAATTTCGAAGTTTTTCATAATTACTCATGGTGGAAAAATTCAGTTGAGAAAACTCTTTCATGGGGTGATAAATTGCTATGATTGTAAGAATAAGTAACTGAAAAACTACCACTGAAAAATAATATGCCGACGCCTATGTCATAGCGGGAATTCCTTCTCTGTGCTGTTCCATTCGGTATTGGAAATACTATACCACACCTAACGAATTGATCTTCACAAACTATATTTGAAAAATATATCTCGACATGTTTCGCTATCACAGTAACTTTTTCGTATAGAATGAAAAAGCTACTATGATAGCGAAACATGTCGTGACATATATTTTTGAAAATCAAGTTTGTGAAGATCAAATCGTAAGGTGTAGTTTATGAAACGAATTGAATTGTTTTAATCAGCATAAATTATAGTTTCGTGTGCCGTCATTAAATTACATAAATCGTTGACATAAATGTTAGAAAGTAAGGGTTCAAGTACGAATTTTTGAGGGATTCCATGTTTTGGTTTGAAGTTTCAAATATGATCGTTGCAAGAAACAGCTTGAGGGTTAATAGAAGGTGAAGAATCTCCTCCAACAACATAATAATGTAATTTTTTCGACTACCAACGACTGTGATTTATACATCAGTATCCAAAATTATAGACATTGATTAAAATTTCATTCATCATCTAAAAAAAAAGTTGTAACATTTGAAATACACTTTCATAAAGAATCAATCAAAATAGTTAAGTTATTTTTGCATTCTTTAAATGATGTCTTTAATATGTAATTAAAATAAAGTTATTTTGGACTATTAACAAGAAAGTTATTAGTGATCCAAATATTTGTTTTTATTCTGTTCATAATAATAGAGGTTTTTAGTTCATCGATAAAAACAGAGATTTCCAATTATGAAAAAAAGCGTATTTTCATCAGCTCACAGAAAATGGACTTTGAGAGATATTCATTATTTCCAATGTTTCACCAAATATTTTAATCATGGAAAAAATGTTCATGCATACTTCTACTCTAAGACGAGAATTTTAGTTTTTCAGTGACTCAGGGTTCTCGAAAGGAATAATCCGTCATGCACAGTTGCAGTCAAAATTCAGTGACGTCTACTTTTATCAATTCAATTATCATGGTAGATTATCGGGAAATACAGGTCCGTTTTTTGAAGGTATGTATGAATGAAGAGCCAATGGTTTGAATTAAAATAGTTGCATCGATTTAGTCGGGAATAAGGGTGTCTGCAAGAAATTTTCGTTGCTTACAATACATTAGAGAGTTCACATCATCCGCATATTTTTTAAATTATTCCACCTGCTACCGCAAAATGTATAGAAACACCATAAAACTAGCTAAAACTCTTTATTATACTAACAGAATAAACAAAGCAAACAATAAGTCAAGAGAAACATGGAAGATAATTAATGATCTCAGGGGAAAGGGTAGAAAGCAAAAATTNGCAGAAACTGTATTAATTATGGTTACCGTTGCTCCCTTTTTGGATGAGTTGTTTGCTTTATTTTATTTTTCAAAGCTTCTTCATTATAACAAATTCTTACTTCATCTCCCGTTTCAATAACGAGGAATGAGAAGTGATAAACTGGAATATTCATACATCATTATTATACCAGTATAGAAGTAAATTTATGGTGTCAGGAGTGATTAATTTTTGGGAAGAGGACTTTTTTTCAGTTTGTGTCTGAAAGTTACTTCTTTGCATGATCTACACATCCATGTATAGAGTTACTTATTTTCAAATTGGTTACTTCTTTTCTTTCTTTGGAAGATTCCCTCGTACTTTTTTGTATCAAGATGAAGCAGTAGAAAGCCAAAAACTTTCTTTCCCATAAATTTATGGTGTTTTGATTTGAACAATTTTCTGCTAGGATATCATTGATTTCGAACAAAATATTAAAAAGATGTGACATGGCATACGGATTCGAAAAGAGAAAGTTGAGAAAATATATTATTACTTATACTTTGTCATTATAAACTAGACCTATTCACAAATTGTATTACACTGTCAGTTAACGCATGTGCATCATTCAAATTCAAGAATTCCTTGAAAGAAAAAACTCGCTCATAGAACTCTCGATAATTTGAAATAAAAAGTAAAAAAGAGAGTGTGGTGTATGAAAGCTCTTATTGATTCACATCACCACTTTCTTCAAGTATGAAATGAAAGATACATCAAAAGTTAGAGTTTGGTGAATGAATCATCTATAACAGATAATTAGAATTTTCATTACCTTGTAGGAGCTGGAAAAATTAGACACGGAGAAGACCTGACTTATATATGGGCATGGGATAACCAGACTTATTTGAATAGCTTTCCCCAAGAAGATGTACTGACAAACGAACGAATTCGGCAATTATACACTGATTTCGCAAAACATCTGTGAGTATAAATTATAGAACAGAAACAACCCTACGTCTATAACTTGGCTTTCACTAGATAAATGCCTTAGAGCAATAAAATTTGTTCAGAAACAACTACAAACATTTCTTCATAGATGTGAAATACAGAAATCTACAAATTTACAAGGTTGGAAATTATGGTTAATTGAAACGAATGGGAAATCAGTATACAAATAATTATGCTTATTTTAACAATTAGGAACACAAGTTTTCACGGCCGAAATCACGATTGAAAAGAACAAACTCCGAAATAGCAGGCCATGGTCGAACGGAAATTGTAATAACGTTTCGTCTGCCTCTGCGACAGGCAGGTTCAGAGTGTAGGCATTGACTGCAAAAACGAAAGTGCTATCCCGAAGTATCAGAACGACTCACTGTCTGTCCGACAGATCAGGAAGATCCAGAACTTCGGCATTGGCGAGAACTAATTCTTTACTTGTGCACTTTTTTAACTTTCGTTTATTCTTAATTTACATTTGTTGCGAACAAACTTGATACGATTTTCAGCACTGGGAGTTTTGCCCCACTGTCGGTAGACGAGATTTTTAGAAATTTCATTTTATATGATACATATTTCAGTTTTTTTTCTATACTTATAATACAATGAGTTATAATAGTATATTATGCAACGATCATGTAATGATGGTTATTAAGACACGAGCAATTACCGGGATACGAAACGAGCCGAAGGCGAGTTTTGTATGGTATATGCGAGTGTAATAATAACCATTACATGAGAGTTGCATACGCTATTTTTTCTAAACCCGATAAATAATGAAAAACTATAAATATTATATTTGTATTGAACACATTTACAGTAATTAACTCATATTTTTTTAAAAAAA